TAATTGAGCCTAACAATGATTGTGTGCTCCACAGGTTTACCTGCTGCTGTTTTTGTTACATTTTGATTTGTAATAGTTTTGTTTGTTTGTTAATATTGAGCTTTAGTTTCTTTTATATCATTTGTTTCTTTGGTTCTTTTTGTTTTCTTTACGCGACTGGGTCATCTAGGTCAACTGCTTGTATTTTAGGGTTTTCAACAATTTTACCTTTTTTCATCAGCGACCAGGTGGTTGGGCGATGCATATGGGTGAGGTCCTCCACCATTTTATGTGATTTAGTGCACAGGGCACACAAGTCAAGTTTGCACATTCTATTTGCTGTGTCAGCTATTATGAGTATTTTGTGGTAGCACCCCTGGGCACCTTCCTAAGTAGCACGCTTACTTTCTTTTTAACAAATTCAGTGGTAACAGTGGTTCAGTTGGTAGAGCATTGGCCTGTGAGCCGGAAGGTCGTGGGTTCAAACTCACCAGAAGACCTACTTCATGACTCCCACCGAATTCTGCTGTCATTGTGTCCTTGGGCAAGACACTTAACCCCACTTTGCCTGAAGCCCCCACTGAAAGATCTCAGCTCCTGTGGACTCACCACCTGCAGGAGGATCTCTGACTGCCACCCCCCTGACCCAGAAATGGATTAAGGGGAAGAAAATGGATGGATTAATAAATAATTGCATGCATTGTGTCTTACCTTCTTCTCATTTTTTAGCCTGAGACCCTCCTTTTTATATTCAACAAACCTTTTGACAGTTTCAGTCCACGTCTTCGTCATTTACACCCAGATCGTTATCTGTGTGTTCTTTTTTAAATCTCATGTAGGTAATTTGATTGTGACCCTTGAGGTTCGCCTTTACCCTCGAGCTTACCCCTCTGCCACAATCGCATACATTTTAGGTTATTTTATCTGAAATCAAGAACCTATCAATTCTCGAGTAAAATCTATGGCAATCAAGAAAGTGTTTGTCAAAAGCAACACACTTTGTTTAATGAAGACCTGCCACGTTCATTCTCTGTCCAATAGTAATTTTTTTGTATTTGAATGATTTTCATAAGTGATCAGGTGAAGTCTTGCACGGATCATTATCTTGGTGAATGAGACGATAATAACTGAACATTTCCACTGAAGGACAGCTGCAGCGTCATCAGCCTTCACACCAGACAAACAGAAGTGTGGGTTTAGGTCAGAGCATTTATCTGAACAAAAGCTGACTGCAGAGCTTTCAGGTCGAGCTCTGGGGGATTAAAACTTCTGAGAAATGGCTGATGAGGATTCCAGGCACTGTCTTAAACTTTGTAAGTCTCTTTCAATGCAAAGTCTCAATCAATTATTTACTTCAGTGAATGTTGTATGTTTACCACTGGCATTTACAAAAAGAGTGTGTTTGTGGTGAATGATGGTGATAATGTGTCTTCTCTGTAGTTATATTTTCACATTCATTATACATTTTTCTTACCCCATGATATTTTAGTTGCTGTGGAATCTACTCAACACAAACATGGTGACTCAAATAGGGTTGTAACAAATGTTTTTTTTGAAAAGGCCTGAAAACCTTTTTGTTTAAGCAAGTTGTGGCCATTTGTCCTTTACTTGAACCAACTTAAAGCAAAACAAATCAAAATTCTACTTTAGGCGTTTATCAAGTTGGCTTTACACAGTGGAGAGAAACTAAATGTCCAAATAAAAAGTGCATTATAGGTTGTATATTGTCCAATGGCAAACATGCCATCCGGCAGTCGCTCCTATGCTGGGAAAAACATCTGGCAAAAACACTTCCATTCTGCCCCCTCCCACCACACCTATATTAAACCTTGTGACAAAACTAAAATAAAAAAAAACCACAATAATAAACACGATATGATCTTAAACCAAATAGCATAGCAAAATGGCAAAATATATCTAAATTAGATTCTCAGAACAAAAATATAAACATGGACAAATAACTCCAACACAGACTTTAATGTTTTTTCTTTTATATTTTTCACTTTTTTGTATCTTTTTGTTATAGTACTTCAAGCATGGGCATCAAAGTCAAGGCCCGCGGCCCGCACAGAGCCATAAGAACATATTGGCTTATTCATTTAATGTATTAATGTCTCTGAAAGAAGTTTGTTTTCGTCTGTGTACACTGTGTTGGTTCAAAAGATTATATTCAATCACTTTGATATGGTCTAATCCAAATCGAACAAGTCCGGCCCTCGGCATGTAGCAAATTTGTTTTTCTGATCCTCTCATGGATTGGACATTGACTTCCTCAACTTATAGTTTTCATGAAAATGTAAGGTGCATTTTGAATAATCATTATGATATGGGATTTTTAGAAATGTATTTAACCCAAAACAAAGCTGAAAAGACGCTCCTGAAGAACATCTTCATGGAGAGGATTTGTTACACATTGGGTTGTTTGATTAATATATTTGGTAAACATAATTTCCTCTCAGTGAAGTTATTATACAATTTGTCAAAGAACCAATCAATTGTCAATTGCTAAATTAGTGTAAAACTGTTTCAATAATTGATTAGTTGTGAAGGCCCTGAGTACCCCCAGCATCTTTAAATCATAAAACATGTATGAAAAGCTAAGAAAGCTCTTGAGATTGTGACATAAATATTGTTGTACACCACATTTCCTGCACTAACGTCTCTGATCATCAATCAAACTCGTGCTGTAAGAACGAGTTTTTATGAACTTTTATGACTTTTATGAACATTTATGGACATTAGTCATCTGCCCCTTATGGACCAATGGCTCTATGTGTGTGTTTTTTAATAATGGAATTTTCTGTGTTTTAACTGTTTTATTCTCTGATCTGTGTTTGAGAATGGACACCTTTGTAAAGTCCTCCGAGATAACAACTGTCGGGATTAAGGGCAAAACAAAAATAAATTGAACTGACTTGAAGAGTCCTTTGATACATGTTTCAGATTCTCAAATTGCCACAAGCTTAATTTGGAATCAACAGTTTGAGGTCAAAAAAATCAACAGTAGGTGGGGATGGCCGCCTGAATAAGTATAATTGTAGCTGGGTGGAAAGCATCAGTGTTTGGAGAAAATACCATTATACAGTAAAACTTGCATTTGTATGCCCGCAATATTGGCATTAAATCTTCCCTAAACGGCAAAAAGCAAAGCCCATAAAACAATTAGATCAAATTACAGGGGAATTAGAGATTGGCCTCATCCAACCTCTTTGTTTATGTGTCTCTCTGTTATGTGTGAGCTTGTGGCGTGCAATATGTCCAGTTTGAAATGGGTATGTCATAAATAGACTTCTTTAAACTACACCCTTCAAGGAAATCAAACATAGAAGAGGATTTAAGCAACTTAAATGTTTATTGTCACACATTACAAAGACACAAGCGATGAATCATGTTCAAACTTTCACTAAACCACAGAGCAGTGCGGCTGTCGGATGTATGGCCCCGGAAGCTTCAGCATCTTTCATCATGATGGACAGATATTGGAAAAAAAGTAATACATTAGTAAAGGGATGCCATATATGTTACATAAACTCCCAACTTAAGTGAAAGTCCATGTTCCAGCTCCAGCCCTGTTTGTCCATGACTGTGATGTTATCCAGGCTGACAGTGGCTGTGTTAGCGTCATTATGGGACTGTAATATCTTGAAGTCTTGGAGCAAGAAATACAATAAAAATAACATAAAACATGATATATTACCCAATCCTTAAATCAACAAATTTGACACAAAAAACATAATATTACTACATACGATATATATTCATGGCATATTGCTTACTTTACAATATCATACAAGACTAAGTGGTTAAATATATGAATGATGAAAGACATTCAATTAATTTGAACTCTATGAACTTACAGATATTCACTTAAAATGGGTGGGTACAGTTGACATTAACAGAAGGTTTCTGGTGTAGTCACTGCAGCTACTATTAGATTACAGAACAATATCATATCTAAAGAGTTATCCCAAGTATATTCATACCACAGCGCTGAAACTCAACAACACATGGAAAAAGGGTCAATTACAAATCGTCCAGGACGAGAATTTTGATTTGGTTTAAATATTTTTGTGTGTGAGGGGTCAATAAAGAGGACACTGATCACCCACCGTTATTCAATTTTTTCCACTGATTAATAATCAAACTGAAATATATCAAAGAGACAGTATGTAAGTCATTGCATATCCAGCTTTTGTTGCCGCAAGCTCACTGCACATGTAGCCCAGTGAGCTCAGAAGGTGGATTACACCTGCAATCCACCTTCTGGGGTTTAGCTGGAAACAGTAGAAACTCAGTGTATACATGAGTGTGGTGTAATTCTGTTTGTTTGTGAACTGTGTTATATGCAGTACTTTTTGGATACATATAGGCCACACTCGAACATAAGCCAATTTGTAAAGTATTACTTAACCAACAGCTGATGGAGCAAAGAGAAATTCTGTGTATTCCTCTGCACTTCCTCGCTATATTGGCCTCACAGGTGATAACACTTGCAGCCAATAGTACAGCTATTACTGTAAACATGATTGGAAATCGGTTTAAAAATCCTCATGACATAATTGTTTAATCCATTGTATTTTTTATAACTCAATAAAAACTTGATTTTTTTTGTTTAAAATCATTTGCAGAAAAAGCCAAATATGAACAGTGCACGATGATCCCAGGGAGGCACACAAAATATGTCGATGTCATTTAAAATGAAAATATTACATACTGTCTTCAATATTATACTAAACACAACAAAACCAAATAGTTAATTAGCTTAAGATGTGTGTCTGAAAGTAAATTTTAAAGATAATTATTATTTTTTTAATGAATAATTTATAATTATACCCCAGCAAATGGAAATGTGTTCTGGTCTTCTGGTGTTTCAAGTTTATTTTCTGCCAAAAGGCACTGGGCACCCAGCCCTATTCAAATCTATGACAAGTTGGTTTAACAATTCAAATGCACCAAAAGTCTGAATATCATTGGTTCCAGTGGAGCAGGCGTTTTACCCCATGTACAAAGAGAAGGGCTCTTTAGATATCACGGCCGGTGTAGCGTCTGCCTTTCTCTTGTTGTGCTGTAAAAAACAAACACACACACAGTTCAACAGAGCTCATTGACTTGGTGAGACAAAGCCACACAATGCGTTGTATCATCTTTATTATTTATACTGCATGAGACGGGCTACTCGGTGGCTGACAGAATGAAAGTGTGTGTGTAAACGAGATGTGAAATGTCTGTTGTTCTCGTTGAAACGAGGGCTGCAGCAGTTTTCCACAAAAAGTTTTGGAAAACTGTTTTGTTTTACAAAACAAATGAAAGTACTTATACTGAGATGAAATGTTTCGCTTTTGGTTTTTGTGTGCATTTATTCATTTTTAATGGTTGGTCTTTGTAATGATATATTTGATGATATATTTACAATCTATTAACTCAAAAATGTGTGAAGATTGAAATTCAAAGTTGCATAAAAAGGGTCTAGAAAACTACAATGTATCATGTGAAGATTCTTGTATGGCTTTAAGTGGATGGATTGTACAGAGAAAAACATGAAAGTGTCAATAATAAAATGTCAAATGTGAACATACAGTACATAGAGACTATGTGTGTCTCATCACAGAGCTTTCAGAGATAATGTTAATATTAAAGATAGAAAAAGCGTAGTGATGTACATAACTATGGTGTCACATTTTTATTCTGTTTAACGTTTACGTTTAACCAAATTCAACAATGAAGTAAAAGTGGCGTACAAATCAGCACTTGTTCAAGTTCTTCCGTCTCCTCCATAGCAACAGGTTTCAACAGCAGAGCGAAAAACACAGCAAGGCCGACCACCTTAAGAGAAGAACAGGATTCTTGTGATGGTTTTGCAAAATCAAGAAATGCATTTCTCAGAATCAACCCAAGAGATGCTCTACTTTTTTATTTGGTTCATTGTACAAATGTACCTTCAAGTTGGGAAATTAGACTTTAACGTTAGGTATGACTTGAATACATTTATTATTAATTATCTGGTGCAGCTGAAGTCACCTGAATAATGATTTTGTCATTATCTAGAAAAGTCTGGAGATTCAAATCTTTATATGATATATGAGTGTATTAGCAGAGCTTATGTTGACTGGATGACATTGAATGTTTTTATTTATGGCTGCTTTGAGAGAGCATGATTCGTGCAGATGCTTGGATACATCAAGTTAATGCTGCAGATATTAAAATGAGGTATAACCAGTCTATCATTTTTGACCAAATGAGACGACAACGACTTGATCGACTAATTATCACCAATTCACCAATTATTGCGACTTCAATTCAAACCAATATATTGGACAGTTCCTAAACATGCAGACGGAACATCTAATCATTAAACATTCACAATCATAAAATCACAGTTGGATGGTGATGCAGGGCACAAACGGACCTTTAGCGGTTGAAGGATGAAGATGCTTTGGAACAGAGAAAGGCCCAAGGACATGACCCACTTGATGGACTTCTCTTTGCCGTACTCAAACCCGTAGAGCAGTGTGAAGAAGGTGGAGATGACGCTGATGGAGAGCAGTAAGAACCAGCCGATGAACACACACCACCAGGGCAGCCAGCACGTCGCATTGTGCTTCTTCTTCACCACCCTCACTGGAGAAGGACTGCAACCAGGACAGACACACACTGAAGCCAAAGCTGGAAAATGACAACCCTAGGGCCGCTCCTGACGCTTCTGTTACTGTTTCTACCTGGTTCTTGTCTCAGTTACTTCTAAATACTAATAGAATTTTCCAACTGCAAAATGTGGAACGAGTAACTTGTTGTAACACACTCATCATGATTAAAACATGTAGGATGAGATAAGATACGATAAGAGAATCTTTATGAATGAATGAATTAATGTATTTATTTTTGACAATTGTTTGATCAATAACAGATATTAAATTCACTGACTGAATTATAACTGGCCTGATCGGGCTGAAGCAACTTGCTTATGTGAGCCCATTCTCACGTCACATTCAGGTCTTTGACTACTTAACCACAACTATGTAAAAGATAAAATATAATGCATATTACTGGTTTCAAACTCATAATACATATTTGCTAGAACAATACACATTGTTAACTTTTAATCCTTTTTGCATTATTATATTTAAATTTAAGGTAAAGTATATCTTTGATTATTTCACATGTTGATAATATATATATTAGCTTCAGCTGATCATTAAAATCATACCACATCCAATGACAAACACACATCTTTTTGTTGTTAGTTCTGAATTTTTTTGTTTCCAACTGAAAAAAACCTCTCAGATTGTAGCTACTTTTTATTATTTTGAAGAAAGATTGAACACCTGCCTTTATTTACCCCACAGTTGAGAAATGTCAATGTTGCAGCGCACACACATCTCTCATGATAAGCTCTCATGTAAACAGGGGCACTGACCAGTAAGCCAGGTGGCTGGTAAACACCATCTCAGCCTTTCGCACCAGGAGGTTGGTGGTGCTGAGGACGTGCTGGTACTCGTACGTGGTGGGGAAGTTTTTGGCGTCGAGTTTCTCAAGAGTCTGCAGCAGGTGACAGAGGCCACACAGAACGAACTTACTGCAGTAGACCCAGTGAGAGTCGCTCACAGTCTCACCTGAGGAAAGAAAGAAAAAAATACAGTTTATTCACTTATATATAGTTTGCAAGGGCAACAGTGTTCTGATAACATATTTCATTCTTTATCTATTGAATATCCCAATCCATACACATTTACAAATTGCCTTGGCTTCACAAAAATATGTTCATTTTGTGTGCTTCCCCTGTTTACTATGGACAAAAGATGTCACATAAAGTTTTGTATGAAAAAGCCTTGAACCTACCTTGCATAAGCTGAATGAACTCGTGCACATTCTCCAAGGCTGGACAGAGATCAAAGCTGGACTCCAGATGCTTCGACAGACAAATCTTGTTTCTTGGACTTTGACTTACCATTGTAATCACCTCCTCCGTTTCCTGTATACATTTTAATACAAGCGGTATGTATAAATAACAATCCAAGGTCAGCACTGGTCTCTGGCACATATACCTTGAGGCAAAATATCAATGTCAGTGTTACAATTAATGGAAAACACACCTTTAAAATGCTTGGAATGGAAACGGGAGGAGGCTTCACGAAGTCCTCTTCAATGACTTTTTTAGTGACGATTCGAGGTTTGATGCTGCGGAAAATGGTGATGATCAGGATGTTTATGGGGAACATGAGCAGACCGCTCTGGATGCCGACCATGATCTCCTGCAAAGTGAGCTTCAGGATTCCTACACACATTCAGAACGTGAGATACAGTAAGTGAAGCTGTCAGACTCTCGCACTCAACACGGCCATTACCACAAAGCGATATTGCAGAAGTGGCGGCCTTTCCACCCACGCACATTTTTTTTGCCTATTCTTATAATTCTGTGTGGACCATTCTGTGCGTATGAGTGAACTTGAATACGAGGTTGCAACAATGATCTGTAAAGTGCGGATTAGAGGATAGTAATACGCAATCCTGTTTATTGTTGACAGTTGGAGATAATTTGTTTTTCCTTCTTCTGTTTAGTTTAGTCTTACATAAAATATGGGTATTTTGATCAATCAAAAAAATTATATTATTTATTTTTATTCTACCTACCTGGAAGACATAACAAGTTACAACCACATATGTCATCAACAGTAGTTCATTCTTTAAGATTAGATAAGGCAATGTCAGTGTCATCGTTGCGCACATTAAAGAATAGAAAAGTAGGAAAAAAGAGCATCCAGATTGCACACATCAAACAGATTAAGATTTAAGATTGTAGATAATAAACATTAACTCATTGACTGCCAGCCGTTTTTGATGATTTCACTGATTCTCAAGACCCATAGAATATTATTTCCTAAGACTATGTGAAATGTGAAACCAGATTCTGAAAGACTGGATTGTTTATTTTGATCAGCAAAAATAAGTTTGTTTTTAGCCATTTGTATTTTCCTGTAATCCCCAGTGGAATTGAGGGTCTCAGACAAATACGTCAATGGCTGTCAGTGAGTTAAAATAATGAGCAATAAAATCATAAAATAGAATGATGTAATGATAGAATAATGTTGATGATTATTGCTTACAAGTTCTGTTCCAATTATCAACATTAAAACAAATGTTGGCTTGATATATCTCACTTTGCAGAGATTAGTTCCATGTTGTAAGTTTAAATACAGAAGTGAATGGATTTAATTTTTACCTCTATTTTCCATATTTATTGCACACTCTCTCTCTTTCACAATTTTAGTTTTGTCTGATTCTGAGAACTAATGCCAAGGTGAAGGACATACACATCACCAGGGATCATTTTTCAACTTGCCATGTCAACACCAAATAAAAACACAAACAGGATAAGAGCTTTATCCTTGTAGCACTGCATGACTAATGGACATAATGGAGATATGGTTTTTGCCATTATTCATTAACGTTAATATGATATTTTCACTCTTGAAATGTATGTACTTTGATGTGGCCATGGAGAGACAAGTACACAAGCAGAGCTGCTCTTCACACATTTCCATTCTCATCATTAAGCATAAATTTATCCCCCGCCTGAAACCTTAACCCTAATCTGAGAAACATGGGATCTTAGGCATGACCCCACAGGACGCAGCCTTTTATGCAGAGTTGTGATGATTGAATCAACAGTTATTGACCTTCTTTACATCTAACCGTCTTTTAGCAACGTTTGAGATGGGAGACTTTGATTGCCTTTCAACTTTCTGTCTATATTTTCAAATGTACAATTTTAAACTAATAAGTGTGCATTGGTTTATTTTTTTGTAAGTGCTCTGTGAATAAAATTGGATTGGATTGGATGGGTGCTGTGGAGCAGAACAATGACACCCCCATGGATGCATTGATCTTGGAGCAATGTTGTTTTTTTTAGCTTTTTGAATGTATTGGTTGTTTTTGCCCTGGACCTGTGTTTTTATGAATAGCTGATAGAAAGCTAGACATCCATCAGAAAGCTGACGTCAAACTGAGTCTGAGTCAAGGCTGTAGGTGACTAAAAACACCCTCTCTCATTTTGTGGAGTCTAGGGATCTGGATATTTCTGAAATCACAAACTATTCTGTTTGATGCTGTGAATGAATCCATTGGTCTATACCACGTCATTGGTCCTACATAGCAATGTATTACAATCCTACAAATGATGTCTTAAGTCTTTAAACTGCGGTAGAGTTATTACCTTATGTAGCAGTAGATTTGCATGCATGTTTATCACATGAGCTTGTCCCTTAACCCTCTCTGTCCCCAATTATGACAGAATTGAATGACGGGAAGAATTTGATGTTTGGGGAAAATTATCATATGGGGTAGCAATGTAGAAACCTGATTTTTTTTTTGAGGAGAACTTCACAAGTAATGCCTTCTGGGATGCTACAGATTTGCAACATGAAACTGGCTGACTTTGGAAAAACCCCAAGGAGATATCATCTAATCATTGGCATGCACTGCATCTATATATATACATCTTATTTTACGCAGTTTTGGTTTCAAATAGTTAAAGGTTAGTGACACTGACTTGAAAATGATGCCTGGAAAATCCAAGGAGACTGACATTTTGGAAGTAAGACAGTTCCGCTGCTAAACTATGTGTTGTTAAAGCTCAACAAAGTCCAGCAGTAGTACCTCTGAGTAAAAATGGGTCAAAATAGGGATGTGGAGTAGTAATTCAAAAATAAGTTGTTGCAAATCTGCAACACTTGCTTGGAGAGGGTTAAAAACCCTGGGTCAGGAAAAAACACAGAATTCAAGATCCTCATAATGCAGGCCAACTCCCAGTAAGAATGCATTTTGGGGCGATGTAAGTGAATACATTGAAGTTTGATATAAATTTCTATATTGAGTTTAAAACAATACTGTAGAACATTGCACACAAAGCACTGCCATAAAGTTACAACTGATAATCAGTTGCATTGATACATTTGTAAAATAAATAAGTAATAAACTGAATCAGGAATTGTAAAAAAAAAAAAAAAAATCCTTATATAGTTTGGGTTGTTCACCTATAGAAAGGATTACAGGAGAGCTTTCATCGATGGGGATGTTCCAGAAGGCGATGTTGATGGCCATGGTGCAGAGGAGCAGACTCATGCAGCAGGAGATCCTCTGAGCCCGAGTGAAGGGGCTTCGTGAGGGGGGGTCCCACACAGACACCCAAATGTGTTCATCCCTGAAGCCATTCGACGTCCGACTTGTGAAGATGTTTCTAAGGAGAACAAAGACCCCTGTTTAATTTTGTTACAGACAATATAATTCTCTTTAGGGTTCCATACACACACATCCAGATTAAAGCCCAATATTGTGGTTCAATCCTTTTCCTGGATTAGAACTGCTATGTGTTTTGGATTCTGTCATGGACACGATAGCAAACATGACACCATGATCCTTTGTTTTAATTACAGTTTGTACATTATTAGTGTACTTGAAATAATGAAAATGCTTAAGTAATTTGATGAAATGTGAATTTGATGAAAAATCTATATATTGTTTGTAGTATCTTCAGTTCAACTGCTCCCACACCAGTGTCTAGGGTCTGGGGGTGTGAGCTTTCAGCCAAGATCCTTAAATTGTATTTCCCGAGTAGAACTTGATGCTTTTGTCTGATTCAAAGATAATCAGCTCTAATTAGTTATACGCAAAAACCGCTAGAGTCTTTCTAGCTTGAATAATTGATTGAAGTAAAATGTTTAATTATACTATTACCTCAAAGCAAATTACCATTGTTCATGGTCATGACAATGGTTGCCAAGGAGCTTAATGCTGGCTATTGGCTAGAAAAATAGTCTCCATGGTAGAAACAGATTAAACAACTCAGCAGTGCAGTGCGGTTGTATGTGTTAAATGCACGAAGCATGAGGACTGCATGAGGCTTCTGGCTATTCCCTCCTTATATATGAAGAGACATTTCTAACGTGAGCACAATTTCTAGTTCATAAAGAAAAAAAGTTGAGGAAAACATGATCCAACCTGAAACTGGAAATCTCATTGTTCTTTGCTACGTTGAATGTCTTCTTGGTCATTCCATCTCCTTTGTCAGAGCTCAACCAGCAGTCGCAGAAGAAGTGAAACACACTCTTGGTTTGGAGGTCTTGAATGACCACTCGGTTTATGTACCTTTAGGATTACAATTGGAGGACCATGTTAAATGAGACATAATAAGTTAAATGTAATTGTTTAAAATCACCAGTTTACAGCTGGTAATTTTGGATTTAAGTCCTCCCTCTGGTGGTAGCATAGGGAGTTACACTTGGAAAGCATTTTTCACCCCACATTTGTTTCACCATACATGTTCAAACTTAGATATGATTTAACATTCTAAAACATACCATGACATAAAAGTGAATAGTCTCATTATTATTTTGAGTTATTTTGTCTCAGTCCCATGGTGCTCGTACCATGCTGGCCGTCCTCCTGAGTTGTCGTGCTGTAGCCGCAAGTTCTTCAGTTCTCCCAGAGGATACGGAGTGGCCAAAAGAAAGACGTCCACAGACCCACGCTCAAAGACGGGTTTCTCTGGATCGATGAGATTATGGGTGTCACTCTCTCCCTCGGAGCCAATGACTTTTGCCATTACCTGCAACAAGATACAGTTTACTCACCAAAATGTCTTCCTGAATACATCTGAACCAGGATCTCTTTCTGAGGGATGCAATTCATTGGGTTTTAGAGTTTTTCCCTTCCTATGACAGAAGGTCAGTTAGACTGTTAGTGGGTCTAACTCAAAGGACTGCGGTGATGATCCAGGACACTCAACATTTGGTCAACTCCCCCCTATGGACCAATACCTATGTGTTCTTTGTGTTTGAACTGTTTGATTCTCTGTATTGGCGATTTAACAGTTTTGTGAAGTCCTCTGAGAGTACTGTTGTGATTCAGGGTGCTACAAGAATACAGTGAATTGAATTGAATTTGTCTGTGTAACATGTGAATTTGGATAAAAAGTTTAATTTTTCAAATATTTTTATAATCCCATACTACTTGGGACAACAGAAGAAATCTATTATTTGTCTGACCTTGGTCATGTCTCTCCAATAACATGCCAAGCAAATAAACAAACACATAGATTAATAAAAAATATACAATTAGTAATCAAGTAGCTTTCAACTTCTTGAAACTAAATACCAAAGCAAATTTCTAGTTTGTGAATTCCTGTTCAGTGACAATGGCAATAAAATTTGTCTGATTCCAAATAATAAACTTTAAAAGCTGCCTTGTTGTTGTTACTTACAGAAATGCAATACAATCATCATATATTGAGTACATATATAACATATTTTTAATAGTAACTATAGTTGCCAAGTAACTTCAGTTTAGGCTCCATGTGCTCACAAGACTAAACTATTGTTATATTCAGTCATTTCAGGATTTTTACCTTCCTGTGTTACATAATTCTTTGTTAGGATTTAATGGAAAATATATGCAATCGACATCCTTACATTTGCAGTTGTCCCAGAATTTTTCCGATGACCAGTGTGGACACAGACCAGGTAGGTGTACTGAGCTCCCGGATGGTTGTCTTCTAACAGGGTGATCTTCCGCTATAATAAAATTTAAATGAGAAATATTATACGTTACACATTATCTTTGCCCATTAAACATTATAAGGAGACTATTTACTGTCATTACATGTTTTAGAATGTGAAATAGTATCTTCAGTCAAAAATATGTGGTGCAAAAATAATCAAGGATAAATAATGATACACCTCCCCTATCCGTATGCTGCCATCAGAGAGGTAGAATTTGTTTTTTAAAATATTTAAAACATAAATAATGTTATTTAATCTAAAAATAACTCCAGGTCTGTGACTGATGAGAATCAATGTTGTAACATGAAAAAATGGGAAAAGTGAATTTTGCACGATATGTGTTCTTCTTATTCCTGAAAGTGACTTCCTGCTTTAGTAAATTCTCACAAACGAGAAAAATGTATGTCAAGGTCATAGAATTGAACCTTATTGACTCATCTCACTATTCAGCTGTATGTGCTATTGTACCATAGAGTTTTAAGCAACTAAAAGATATTCAATAAAACCCATCAATAAGACCATACCTTGGAGGAGGCTTTACGGTCAGCATAACACGCCCACATTAGAGTCATGAAGTAGAAGCCGAAGAAAGCACAGAGCAGGGCCAGAACCACATAGTTTTTGGAGACAGTGGCAAACAGCTCTGCAGTGCGGGATAAGTCCACGTAGTTGGGCATCACAAAGAAGGAACTCCCAAACAGAGTCAAGTGGTTACAGAGGCACTGCGTGACCGCAGGGGTGCTTTTTGGGCCAACCTAAAATACAAAAAAACAATACACAATATTGATAATAATAATGCAATGGTTTTATATAAAGCTTTTTTGGACGCTCAAAGACAATTCATGTCATGATGTGGACTTTTTGGATTATTTTAACCTGATTGTATTTACTTTATTTGTTAATTTGTTATTTTGAGTTTGATTCCTGCCTGTCCTGTTGATTGTTGCCCCGCCCTAATGTGATTCACCAGTGTGTCCCCGGTGTGTATACCCTGTGCCTTTCCCCACTTGTTGTCCGACCATTGTCTCTACCACGTTTGTCCTGTCTTCAGTTCTGGAGTTTTTGTGTTTTTACATGATCTTGGATTTATTTTATTAAATTACATATGATTTTCAGTCCTGCATTTTGGGTTCCCTTTTTCTTCATTCCCCCACATGACAATTCACATGTCATTATTCATTCACACCATACACAGAGGTGATCATTTACTACTGTAGCCACAGCTGTCCTGGGGCACACTGATACTAGCGAGACAACCAGTATGTGCCGTCGGCCCCTTTGACCACCACCAGCCATTCACTCACACACCATTGCCTCATCCTAGGCAATGTGAGTGAGGCAGCTTGGCTAAAGACAAAATTGCAATTTGGCACTTTACAGCCGTAGCTGCCCCACTGTGGCACCTGATGTTCCCAGAGGTCTCCCATCACAGTACTAACCAGGCCCTGCCCTGCACAGTTTTAGAGGTCTGACCGTGTATCTGACGGGATCTGGCTTTTGCATGCAAGTATGACAACATACTAAATTTGTATTATCTGAATGCATAAATGTTGTCATGTCATTCTTGCTTTCTCAATTGAAAGTTCATGCACTGGCTGTGCCAGGGGCCCCTGCTGGTCCGGTTTGGAGACCACAGGATTTCATCGCTGCTGTTTGCGGACATTGTTGTCCTGTTGGCTCCAACAAACCAGGACCTTCAGCCTGCACCGGGACGGTTTGAAGCCGAGTGTGAAGTGGCAGGGATGAGAATCAGCTCCTCCAAATCGACCTGGGTAAGGTCCAAAGGGCAAGGTGGGTGGAAAATGGAAACCCTACCTGGCATCCGGCCGTGTTCCACATTTTGTCCTCCACATCCCAGTACATGCACTTGGTCATGTGTGAGATGACATTCAGCGTCATGCCGGAGAACCAGGTCGAGTTGTATAACCGGGCATCGACGAACCACGTTCCGCTCTTCCCCTCCAACATGCTGGGGGTGATCATCCAGCGGTAGCCCTCTGATGGGAGAGAATTACAGTGACGACTATGCAACCTTTTCCCCTGATTTCAATGATGGCTGCAAAGTCAAAGGTATACAGGAGGATATTCCCAAATTTAAGGGAAGAACTGTCCTCTCCACTTTTTGAACCACTTATTTGACGTATCACCAGAATGATTGACAATTCTATGGTCATATTGTCAAAATATTCTTTCTTTTACTAAAAATTAAATACAATAGAAGTTCCAGACATCAGCTTTAAAACACTACATTGTATCATAGTACCTTGTGGACTGAGGATGACTTGAGTGCCATTGAAGCTACTGTTTGGAGGCGAGCCGTGATGCAGCATCAGGCGCAGCGACACGTTGGCGTTGGGCTCCATGATCAGAACTACGGTCATGTTTGCGTCGCTGACGTTGAAGGCTGTCACTACTTTACTGTGATCCTCCAAATACATTGTAGTGTTCTTCTCTGTGGCATTGAATCGGGGCAAGAAGATCTGGGGAGAAGAATCAGACAAACAATTCCGACATCCCAAACATAATATTGAACTTTAAAAACAAATGTCAAGCCTTTACTTTTTATTAATTTTTTATGCATTAATTACACACGATTGAAATATGTCATGTTGTTTTAGTTCTTGTCACTGATGATTATCGCATATAGATAATGTTTATGTAATCGGGTCACAAGGGGATGGCGTGTGTGCTATTTTTATTGGTTTGCTGTGTTTGTTTTCCCATGTTTTTGAGTTACGCCCCCTCGTTGGTTACTATGGTGACCCCCCCCCCCCCCCCCCCCGCCCATCTGTCTGCAACGCACCAATCCACCACCTATGCAATCAACACACCTGTTGTTCAGCGGGAAAGAGACGACAACAAGAGGAGAGTTGACGCAGTTGAGACGGAGGCAGAGGAGAGAGCACCGTGTGAGGAAGGACAACAGCGCGCACCCACCCCCCCCAGCCAGACAACACGGAATACACGTAGAGGCAGGGCAATCAGACCCTGCCTTGCCAGTGAGTACTGCTCTATCTATGTGTGTGGTGCATGGTTCATCAGAAGCTTTGGGCTGAAGTGTTTGGAGTATCGTGTGTGTGGCTGGCCTGTGTGTGCTGTGTGTCAGGGCTTGAGATCTGCGCTGGACGGAAGGAACAAGCGCGGTTTGGGGGAAAGCTGAGAGGCCAAATCGAGCAGTGGGAGAGCGAGGAGCTCTCCCTGTCAGTGAGTACCGCCAAACGCAGCACTCCGCTATACAGAGTGGCCTTGGGCCTTAGCGGTTGGGTGTAGTGGACTTGTGTGCTGGCCTTTGCCTTTTGCCCAGGTGCGCCATCCGTGGAGCAGTGCAGGACCCGGACGATCTTCCCCTTCCCCCCCCAGCGACTCCTGCTGCGGGATTCGGGCCTCCTCCTCGTTGTGCCTCGTTTTAACTAACTTTACCATTTCTTAACCTTTTTAAATAGCATTTTAAAGCTTGTTTTTAGTTTTGTAATAAACCTGGTTTTAACTGTACATCTGTTTCATCGTTATTGGCCACACCAGCCTGCTCTCATTTTAGTTTTCAGTTTATTTATTCGGCACCATTTTAATTTACCACTTTTTAGTCTGTTTACACACAAACCCCCCATTACATTTATCTACATGTTTCACAGAAGTCTAGTATAAAAAATGTTTTGAGCACAATGGCCTCTTGAAAAGACAGTATGCTTCAAGATAAAGCCAGGCAGTCCTCTTTTTTGGTTCAAGGAGACTTATGTCTTCTTTGGGGAATTTCTTTCACACATAGCAGCATTTCACTGTAGCCATCACTCTAATTATACAAGCCAATTAGTTTGTGTAAGCCCTCAGTCGTACAGGGATTAGTCAAAGCAAAGGAAGGTTTCTCACCCATCATCTGTACTTCTTAGCAAGTTTTCCCGACGTTTCGTCCTCAAACCAGCGGACTTCTTCAAGGAATGAATTCTCAGACCGCGCGTTGGAGATTTATAACCTATGGGTGTGGTTGGCCACACCCTAATCCTGATACTAACTCTTAAACAATCTAAGGTCTGTTTGATGTAGAAGGGAGCAGGTCTAACGACCCTGCTGAGGCTAACGACCCTAACTCCTTAGCATGTCACAGACCTATTGTCTGCTGGGATGCTCAAGTGGAGTGCAGGTCACACCCCTCCTAACTCATTAGCATGTCACTGACCTTGTCCCAAGTTAGGGCATTGTTTTTAGGATGTCGTCATAGATGCGAGGCAAAACAAATCTTAACCCTCCTCCTCTGTTAAGAGAAGGTTTTTGTTTCCTCACAAAAATGGCTTCTTTCACCCCTCTCTCAAACCAATTCTTCTCCCGAGCCAGAATTTTAACCTCTGTGTCATCCACCGTGTGGTTGGAGGCCTTGAGGTGGAGATGAACAGCCGACTGTGGCCCACTAGAGTTTTCTCTACGATGTTGGTAAAGTCGTTTCTGTAGAGTTTGTTTGGTTTCTCCAATATAGTGGTTAGTGCACTCCTCTTCACTACATTTAATTGAATACACCACATTTCTCTGTTTGTGTCTTGGTGTTTTGTCTTTGGGATGCACTAATTTCTTTCTTAACGTGTTGAAAGGTTTGAAATACACAGGGATTTTGTGTTGCCTAAAGATTCTTTGTAGTTTCTCTGAAACTCCCGCCACATATGGTAAGGACACCCCTCTCCTCCTACTTTCTTCTGTCTGTTGGACTGTGTCTCTGGCCTTTCTCGTCCTTTGGGCTTTAGTAAAAGACCACTTGGGGTAGCCACATCTGGAAAGTGCTCTCTGAACATGTTTGGTTTCTCTATTCTTTCCCTCCGAGTGGGGACCTGGTGGGCTCGGTGTGAGTGGACTTTCTGAAGACCTCAGTCTCTAATTGTCCGTTCTCCAGTATGATGACCTGTTAGTATTAGATAGCAATATGGCCTACGTGCAGGACTCTACAAGGACTCCATGTTATGACTATGATTTGACTCTCTCTTTGTGACACGTATGTCTTTCGATGTGTGACGTGACAATGACTATATAAACTGTGTACTGCCTTTATTCTGTCTGAGAGAAAGAAGCAAAGGAAACCATTGGAACTTGAGAGAAACTTAAATAAACTTCCAGAGTTTGGCGCACCACGATCCGTCTCTGTCTGCTTCATTCCTGACAGATTTGGTGGAGGATGTGCGGCTCAGTGTGTGCCATTCTCTGGATTGTTTTGAGGGAGTTTGCTTTGTTTCTTTTCCTCGGCGTGAGAGACCGGCATGCTGTCTCTGGGAGCGGAGATTCCAGCAGGCTGGAAGAGCTGTTCCTGGATGCTTCTTGTCGCTTCTGTCACTTTTGTTTATAAATTTAATATTCCGACGTGGAAAAGAGGTTGGCAGACCTCTTGGACAGTCCTTGGTACCTGTTTGACAAGAATAAGGTAAGCAGACACCTTTTTATATGTAAAGTCTGTATAATTGGATACTAGCTAAATTTTGGTCTGTTTTTGGGGTCTGTCAAACTCTCTAAATTGTATTTGAAGAAGTCTCGGGGTTAGAGTCTCGGGGTTAGAGTCCCTTTGAGAAGAAGTCTCGGGGTTAGAGTCCCTTTGAGAAGAAGTCTCGGGGTTAGAGTCCCTTTGAGAAAACATTTTCGGGGTTAGAGTCCCTTTGAGAAAAGATAGAGAAGAAGGATCCTTAGTGAAACCATGGTATAAAAGTAAAAGCAATTTAATAAAAAGGGAAATGTGAAAAAGAGGCCTTTGTTACAAAAGCTTTGAAATTGACGAATTTCAGGCTGATAAATGACAAAAGTAAAGAAGCAACAATATTTCAGTGATCACGATTTAAATTACATACAGAAAAAGTGAGTTTTTTGTTTTTTAGTTTGTTTTTTGGCGTGAACAGAGTTCACCGGAGAATGCAGAGTTTTATCTACAGTTGAGCTATGAGAGGGTTGTATCCAACAGTTGTTTTTGTTTTTTAGAAAGAGATTTTGAGTTTAAATTAGTTTGCTACCTCGATAAAATAGAAGGAAACGTTAAAGACAAGAGTGCCTTTTGTTACAAGTGTGGAGAATGATCACTTCTAGACTTGGATGACAAAAGTTTAAAGAACAACATCAGTTATATTTGCTTAAAAAAGTAATCTTGAAAGTTCTTCTTCTGTATCTGCCTGTGTGTGTGCGCGTCTGTGTGACAGGAACCCCCCCGCCCTCGCTGCGCTGCTGCTGCTGCTCTGATTTAAAGGAGAGCTACTGCGTTTAGGATTTTGGCTTTTCATAGTTTTTATTCCGTTAAATTTGCGAAATTTGCGATTGAACATTGTGTTATGACACAGTTAAACGTTTTTAAACACTATTTAGTAAAAATAAGTTTTGAATAGTATGTTTTTCTAAATCCAAAGATTAGTACAAAAAGCTTTGCTTTTCTTTTTAAATCTGCTTATTTTTGAGTCCATTATTGTATCTCTGATATATTTCTTAGCTGTTTGTGAGAATTTTTTCATGTATTTCCATTTTAGTTACAAAAGCCGTTTTTCAAACATTTAAATTAGAATCTGTGTTAAAAGTGATTATTGATCATAGACTTTGTCTAAAAAGAAAGAGGGAATTAGGATTAGCTGTAAAAGTATTATATTATTGAGTTCTACCCAATTCACCCAATTCACATTGCAAGAGGTTACTTATTTGTTTTGACTACACGCCTGACCTTGCTCCTCCTGCTGATGCACACAGCAGAGGAACCTGGTCTAAAATGTGCTCCAATTCATATTGACCTAATTTGAAAAATTCTGCAATTATTTTAAATTAGTAGAATATATGCTGAGATAAATGTTCAAGTGTAAAAGGGAAATTCCATAAAGTGAAACCCAAGGACGCATAGATAATTAAACACACAGTACAAAAGTACATAATACATATTTTAAAGTTTGAAGGTTTTTGAGATTTGAGTCTTGTTTTTTATATTAAGAGTTTCTGGTTTTAAAAAGTTTCACATTAGTAAGATAATAAGTAATCTTTATTTACATAGCGCATGTGGGAAAGCCAAGAGTGCTCCAAAATTGTTTAGACTTTAGAGAGAAAAACAATCTCATTCACATACTGATATCTGTTGTTTTTAATTTGACTATAAGGTTGTGTTCCAGGACCAAGGGCACACACTGTACAGGGTCACTGGACTGAGGGAGTGGACACTGAGAGCTCAGACCACAGGAGCCCAGGCACAGGTCACAGATCAAAGAGCAAAGGAAAATGCCACCTCCTTGCCCCTCCCCACGCCACTCCAGAGCTGAGTGAGTGTGAGAGAGACCGGGGTAGAGAGAGGTCTTTGGAGACGTGATGGGTGGAGCATCAGGGAGAGACCTGAATGAGAGTTGAGAGTGTGTCCAGTTGGTTTACATCACCACAGTGTGACCTTTGAGACCTACAGGTGGTTCGAGGAGTCTGGAGACACAACCCCAAAATTCACACCCTACATACACACACATACACTCACACATTCACATTTACATATAGATACATGAAAAAGCAGAACATGAGAAAAAAGCATTTTAAAAGTTTACTCCAATGTAAACAAATATTTGTTATTGTCTAACTTGAATCAGTATTTTTGAGACCAGAAATGTTCATTTGAATTCTATATTGTCATGGACTAATTGACGTCTGCCCTGACACTTTTGATTTGCTGATTTTGTACTGTGTGAAGTAATTACATTTGTGGCGATAGGGAGCGGACATACATAACCAGCAACGCCAGGGCATATGATACCCAAAAATGTCCCCAATTTGTACTCGGATCTAAGGCACACAGGTAAGCTTAAATTGACTGGACAGAGGCAGAAGTTAAACGATACTCGTTTAGTTTTTAATGGAGCAACTCTTGGTAATAAATAGGTTCTGTACATCAGTTCTTTGTTTCCAGTTATCTTGATTCCGCAGGGCGCACGTCTGCGCACTGACCACAGTCTCTCGGTCATTGTCCATAGTTAAACAGCATCATAGTTCTTAAAAACAGACGACTCGTCTGCAGATTTCGTCCAAACAAGAAGAGGAGGCGGGCACGCCGCCAGCACCCAGAAAGCAAAGTGTAGCGTTCCCCGCACCATACCGAGACCCCGAGCCTCTGACCATGCTCAGCTATGCGGTAGCCGGGCCAACACGCACAATGCAGCGACGCAGTAAAATTGGGCACCACCCAGTTGCTGGCCTTAAGCCTCAGCCGCCGGCTTGACGCCCCGACACGACCCATAGCAACCTCCCAACTAGCCTGCCTCGCTCCGAGCCCCGTGCAGCGGATGTGACGTTGGATAGAGGAGAGGCAAGGTAGCGCAATTGACAGGCTTTTATACTGCGCCCCCTACTTTCACTAGGGAGCTTATGCCAGCTCACTACACATTGATTAGGATTAGAATCAAAATGACTTAACCATAGAGAGTAACTACTGCATAACAAGCTGTGTACAGGAACTGTGACACTGCACCATTGACCAGAAGTGCATCGCAAATGACCTGATGTGCGCTTCGAGTGAAAAGACTGTATCTGGAGATCCGATGTGCATCTGGAGAGACCAAAACCATGGCTTGGACCCTTCTGATGTCCAAGATGACATCTCTCGAAATATGACCTGACCTGATGACGACTGAGACTCACCCTCAGGGGACCCTGAGGACCTGAGGATCTGAGAGAGAAAAACCTGGGGAGTGATGTTTGTATTTTTAAAATCATACATTGATGAGTGCTAAATGAGACAGATACTCATGATTCTTTCTTTTGTTTTTGTTTGTCCCTAGCTTCTGGACATCTGATGATCTATTGGACACAGACATTTGCAGAACAAGAACCAGCCAATGAAAAACCGTCAATTGACGATGCTATTGCTACAACCAGAACCACACCTGTGACCAAATGCAATATACATGTTAAGTATTCAGACATCTGACAGACAAAAACTTTGACTTTTTTAGTCTGGTAGACTGAGCAAATGTTAAAATGTTTTAAAATGATAAAGTATGAGTATTGTAGCGTTTATTAGATGTTAAATAGTAGTAAAAAAGTAGAATTTGACTTCCTTTGTTGTTCATAAACACATTTCAACGTAAGAGTTAAAATCATAACTGTACAATGTGATCCTTCTGATAGAGCAGCTAAAATATTAGCTGCTCTATCAGATCTAGAAAGGCAGAGTGAACTCGCCTTTCTAGATTGTAACCCTCCTATCCACACGGCTGGACTATTGTAACTCTCTGTACTATGGCCTTGACCAGTCCTCAGTCCAGACTGCAGCTGGTACAGAATGCAGCAGCTCGGATGCTGGACTGGCACCAGACGACACGAGCACATCACTCCTCTGCTGTCGTCTCTACATTGGCTTCCTGTCGCTTTTAGAATTAAGTTTAAAATGTTATTGTTAGTATTTAAATCTCTGCATGACCTGGCTCCGTCATATCTCACTGATTTGCTTACTTTGCACACTCCGGGAAGAGCACTGAGGTCCTCTGACCAGCTTCTTCTGCACTGTCCCAGGTCTAGATTAAAAACCAGAGGAGACCGAGCCTTTGCTGTGGCAGGGCCTAAACTCTGGAACGCTCTCCCTTATTCCATCAAAGCTGCCTCCTCTGTGGAGAGTTTTAAATCGCAGCTAAAGACACATTTCTTTGCTTTGGCTTTTTAACACAAGCAATGTTGCAACATTTATGATAGTGTCCTGCATTTTATTTGTATGCTGAAGGTTATTTGTGTGTTGTATTTTTACAATGTCTGGTAAGCACTTTGTGACAGTCCTGTCTGTTTTTAAAATGTGCTATATAAATAAACTTGACCTTGACCTAGATTGTAAGGTCATCATACTGGAGGTAAGGTCATCATGTGTATTTCAAACCTTTCAACATGTTAAGACAGAACACCCAGACACAAACAGAGTAATGTGGTGTATTCAATTAAATGTAGTGAAGAGGAGTGCACTGACCACTATATTGGAGAAACCAAACAAACTCTACAGAAACGACTTTACCAACATCGTAGAGAAAACTCTAGTGGGCCACAGTCGGCTGTTCATCTCCACCTCAAGGCCTCCAACCACACAGTGGATGACACAGAGGTTAAAATTCTGGCTCGGGAGAAGAATTGGTTTGAGAGAGGAGTGAAAGAAGCCATTTTTGTGAGGAAACAAAAACCTTCTCTTAACAGAGGAGGAGGGTTAAGATTTGTTTTGCCTCGCATCTATGACGACATCCTAAAAACAATGCCCTAACTTGGGACAAGGTCAGTGACATGCTAATGAGTTAGGAGGGGTGAGACCTGCACTCCACTTGAGCATCCCAGCAGACAATAGGTCTGTGACATGCTAAGGAGTTAGGGTCGTTAGCCTCAGCAGGGTCGTTAGACCTGCTCCCTTCTACATCAAGCAGACCGTAGATTGTTTATGAGTTAGTATCAGGATTAGGGTGTGGCCAACCACACCCATAGGTTATAAATCTCCAACGCGCGGTCTGAGAATTCATTCCTTGAAGAAGTCCGCTGGTTTGAGGACGAAACGTCGGGAAAACTTGCTTAGAAGTACAGATGATGGGTGAGAAACCTTCCTTTGCTATACAAGCCAATATGAATTAGATTAACCCATAGTAATGAATGATCCATTACATCCGTTGGCACTGAAGCAAAACACAACCAAAACCTGAGCAATGTTCACCTCGACAAGTTGCATGTATGCCTTTTGTTGAGGTGACCTCAGAAGCTAAGAGGGGGAGGGTCCCAAAATAGATACATTTTTGCCTTACTTCGAATGGGGTGGAGAGATTTGTCACTTTCAGTGATTCTCCTGTTATTGGATTATTCAGGACACATTTTATGAGGTATCCATTGATCACTTCATCAGTAGGATGAGGGTTTGATCGGAAAGAACTAAGCTAAAAAAAAGAAAAACAACACGTTCAATCAACAACAATCACCAACATTTTGAATCCTATCCTATTTTTCAGATATGTCCAGATAATTAATAATCAGGTCACTTCAATTCAGAGGTATTTGTAGAATCACACACCTGACCGACAAAGTTTTTGGAGTTCTTGAGAAAAGGTGCCAGTTGTTCAGCAGGTGGAAAAACCATATATTCTCCCTTTTCCTTTGATCCCAGTGTTGCTTCGCCCATACTCGCTGCATCATAACTAAAAAAAACATATTTGCATTTGACAATGCAGTGTTCAAACATGTTTTGAATGAGGACCTGTTTCTTTACCTTTTCTGATAAAGAGTCCCATCTGGATGAGGAAACACAATTTCCTCCGTGGAACCACTTAAAAGAGAAACAATTCTGAAGATCTCAAAACACTGCTCAAACAATTCCTGTGGAAACACATGCTTTCTGAATTAGAAAAAGCATATGTGTGTGTGACTGTCTGTGTGTGGGTGTGTGTATACGTGTAATTTTCTGTGTGCAGGTGTGACTGCCTGTGTGTGTACGTGTGTGTGTGTGTGTGTGTGTGCGACTAAAGTGTGCAGGTGTGTGCGTACTTGTGTTTGTGTGTCTGTGAGTTAGTGTGTGGGTTCATGTGTGCGTGAGTGCATCTCTGTATCTGTGTATGTATCTGTGTGGGTGTGTGCGTGTATGCCTCTGTGTGTCTGGTGTAGGTGCTGGTTTTGTTCTAATACCCCATGTCTCCGTCAGTTCTTAAACTCACAGTGGGATTGGGGTTTATGTCCACATCACATCTGGTCACTGACAGTTTCATGACGGCGGTGGTGCAGTTCAGGATCCGAGCTGCCGTGTTGTTGTTCACAGGAAAGGTCAGCAACTTGGCTACGGTCATTAACTCAAGTATAATGAAAGTCTTGAGAATAAAATCAGATTATTGCACATGAGATACATCAAATGGATTTTTTTTTATCTCACTGACTCACTCTGTTGACGGCTGAAGGCGCCGCAAACGCTTGTTCAAAGCCTCGCAAAGTACGTTCAATGTTCTGTTTCAAAAACGTTGACATTATTAAATAGATGAAAACAAAACTGATTCTTACATTATACTGTATAGAATGTTATGTCCTTACCTTTATTCTATTGATGACTATAATCTCTCTTCTGAACCCTGGAATATACAATATATCTCAATAGCATATATGTTTCAACAATTTATGGTTTACTGAACACTAAAGCGACTTACGTGAATGGGTGTTTTTCCTTGTTTGAAATGAATTCTGTTCAAATAAGAGCAAAACTTATTCAATATACATAATGAGATGAGATAGCAATATTAGGGACAATACTTTCAACACATACACAAAATATTATTAGTATAAATCTTTTTTTCTTGCACCATATTCATGCAATTTTCTAATTTTGTTTATTAGAAAAGGATTCTTCACATACATAAAGTTAATGTCAAAAATTGCATTATCAAATATGGAATTCCTTATGTATGTATTTCTTCATTCCTTCAGCAGAGAAAATGGCCAGAAAGGCCAGACTTTTGGACTATTCTTTTCAGAGGCTGACCATCATGCCCATAGACATTCAGCTGATCCAATGCAACCACAGAGAGAGGACCTCATCACAAACTGGGTAGACCTTTATCTCTGCTGCTGTCAGCTGATTAACACTTTTTGAGGGCGTTTCATCCTGGGTTTTATGTTTGGATTAGATTTTACTCAAAATCAGAACTTTTGTTAAATGTATCTTGTCTGTTTGGTCAGTATCAGCTTTCACAATAGCAACACTTTACAGCCGCCACAGGGCGGTCACAAACAGTTTTCTCCCAACACAGTGCTAACCAGGTCTTACTCTGCGAAGCATGTGAGGTCTGGTGGGATCAGGCTTTTATTTTGCAAGTGGTACCACGAAAGATTAATTGCTATAGCTGCAAAGCAAATATTTAAAAAAATGATTTTTGAAATAGAATTTTGAGCAATATATTGGTCAATCTAACATACTGGTTTTTAACCAATGTTCTAGGATGTATTATTCTAAATACAGTATGTATTCCTGTAAAATGTATTGCATCATTCCCCTACACTGTATTTTATAAAAAACATGAACATCATACCTCCTCTTCAGATGCAGAGAGAGAACCTTTAAAGAGATAAACAACATGTGTTATCTGAACTGTCTCGAACATCAGATAAGAACAGTGTATCTATCTCTATTAGGATGAGAAGGACCAGGTGCTCTGATGAATGATGTCATGTGGACAATAACCGCTGACAATGAAATAACACTTACTGTGGGCGCAGAGGAAGCCACGCTGCTCTCCACAGTCGGCTGCAGTGACCAGTTCAAGGGGATTCAACTTCAGGTACGTGCAGGAGGCTACGCTCTCCCCTTCAGACAAACACATCCCAGACACTCAAAACATGCAGGAAATATATATATATTTATTTTCAGAGAGTGAAAAAACGAATAGAATACAAAAAGAAATATAAGGGCGGCACTGTGGCTGAGTGGATAGCACTCTCGCTCCTCACCAAGAAGGCTTTGGGTTCAAATCCTGGTCGAACAGGGCCTTTCTGAGTGGAGTTTGCATGTTCTCCCCCTGTCTGTGTAGGTTTCCTCCAAGCACTCTGGTTTCCCCTACCACTAAAACCATGTACAATAGTTCAGGGTGAATGAGTGTGTGTTTGTTTGAGTGCGACTGTGGGACAAGGGATGGAAATCAGCCCATGGCTACAATCTGGAGTGATGTACTGTCCCAACCAAATAAACAATAAAAATAAAGTGTGAAATATCTAACTGTGTGTAATTAGTCTGGTATTTAAAATAACACTTTCATTTTGTAGATTTTTTTTGTTACTAAATCTGGAAACAATATGAATCACTAAAGAGCGCAATTTCTTAATCTAATCTATCTGGTGATTATTCCTTCTATTATTTGATGTTTAGATCACAGATATGTTTTTATATCTTGGTCTTCTTCCGTTGTTCACTTGCATATCTGTTACAGAACAATCCCCTCTCAGATTTTAATAAAGTTATGAGATATTACCAGGTAAAACAATCTGATTACAATCTGTAAAATAGTACAAGGAAAGTTAAAGAAATGTATCCTTTGATAGTGACATCTCTGGCCCGAGACTGGCCCAAACTCCATGCTGATGAAGAGTATACAAAACAGTTCAAAAGTCTAGAGTGCATTTAATGTATTTTACTAAGGTAAAAAAAGACAAAACATTATTATTCTAACACTGAAAACACCATCCAGTCTATTTTGCATATTTGTTTTAAATCTTTTAAGCGAAACCTTAGTTTTCTTGCAATACAATTATCTTCAACTTATTATGGTCAGGTAATTAACTAATTGAGCTTTTTTCTTAAACAAGAAAGAAGCTCGTCTTGGAGTCCCATGTTATATATCATTTTAAAAAACTAAGCCGGGGTGAAGCAATAACAAAAAAAGTATAGGCCTTACCCTCATTGATTTCATTGTTCTCTTCCAGTCCTCCTCCAATCCACCAGCTCAAGTTGCTGGTGTTTGAATCTTTCTGGGTGGTTTTCAGAAATTGCTTAGTTTGACTGCTCATCTGCTTCAGTAGATCCCCTCCATGGTCTTCACAGCTCATCCTGGCTTCGTTCCAGCCGTAAGATCCATCCACAAACTTATAACACACTGAATTGAAAGCATATTTACATATTGCAGGGTTTTGACTAAATGATAAACAATAGGAATCCTCAAGAGACAGCAACAATCCACAGGCGCAGATCAACGAGAGATACATTTTCCTCCTCAAACCCATTGTGGTTTTCACTGAACGAACAAGCTTCTTCTCTGTGGAAATGGTACAGCTTTCCCCAGAAGAACCCTGACGTAAGAGTATTCATGCCTTAGGAAAATCACTTGAAGCACTCAAACAAGATGCAAAGTGATGGAGTGACTTACCTGGTCACTTGGAGCCACACTAAAAACTTACAACAATACAAAACTATTGTTCAAATAAATAAAATGCAATAAAATTATAATACAAATAATTTATTTCAACATACATTCCAAACATTTGAATGCCCTATTATGTACCTGTGTCTATTTTTTTTTTTACACTGAAGCTAACTTATTATCTTTCTTATAACCTGGAAATAATGTTGATCATAGTTATATTATTGAATAAGAAAACAACAACATGAGCTCAAATCTGTCACCCAAAATAATCTCATGAAATGATGTATGTTCGAGAGGGTAGGCCCACATAAGTAAATTGTATTGCATTTAAGTCTGCAGTAAGTAGTTCCTGGTGCATGTTGGCCTCTACCAGGGCTATTCTTTGTCACCGGTTCACTGTCTTTATGGACAGAGTTCTGACCCCTGCCTTGGCACAGCCTGCCCTGCCCCTCTGACCGAGGAGCATGAGATTGCCAGGCAGATTGGTGCAGCGTGCTAAGTGATGCGGCCGCTGTATGGACCAGAAAAGGGAGCTGAGCTAAAAGGCACAACACAGACATGTATGTGAAAACTAGACAGAACCAAACTATTTTAGAGATAGAGTAAGGGGATATTTATATTGTGTATGACCAGTGTTGGGTGTAACGAGTTAGAAAGTAACTCGAGTTAGAAAGTAACTCGAGTTAGAAAGTATCTCGTTACACTTAACGCGTTAAGTAACGCGTTTAGTAACGCGTTAAGTAAAGCGTTAAGTAAAGCGGAGAAAAGTTAAGTAACGTGTTAACTATCGTCAATAGTTACCTAACACCATTTCTTTTTGGATCCACCGCAGCATTACTTTTTGTTTACCACGGGCAGCTGTGACACTCATACTGGTGCTTAGGGATCAGTCACGACTCGCGCTCAATAAGTTCTAAATCCACAGTATATGAAGCAAGGTGGCTGCTCGTCATGGAGTGTCTTTAACCGACACTCCGCTGGTAAAGTGCGACTCAGCAGCGCCAGTGAGGCTGACTTTTTTTTCATTTGATGAGGAGGAAGGTACTTATTTGAGGCTCAGAGTGAGAGGTCCTAAACCGATATTCCCCCGAGTGAGAAGTGTGTTCATGAAATACAACCACCCCATGTTACTTTGTGCTGTGGCGCTGTGGTGTTTTTGATTGTAGAGAGTATGAATTAAATATCTGTTGATCTTTACGGTAGAACTTCCACAACACATTTAAGAACAGTTCTGCTCGAGTATAACAGTAACGCAAAAGTCAAGTAACAAAGTAATTTTCTTTAGAAAGCAATTAAGTTAAGTAGCTGTAACTGACATGTTATCTGGCCGGTTCATGTATGAAATACATTAGGTGTTCTCAAATTAGGATGGGAATTAGAGAGTTTAGTTAAAGTGTCATCCTGTGAAGCTGGATGTCCATTTGATTTTTGCTACACCTACAATCTTCTTAATACAGGTAATATTTGAGTAACAACAATAATCTGTTATGCACTAGTAACAAATTGGAGAAACTTGTTTTTCATTTTTATTTATTTCAGTAGGCCTGATATAGTCCACCAAGGACCGGTTTGATATTCGCCTGATATTCGCAAGGGACCGTCTGCAAATTGCAAGAGTTCAAAACGACTAATAAAGACTAAAAATCAACAAAGATATTTTTTCCCAGAATTGATGGGTTTAGTAGCTCCCATTTAATGAAAGCTAGCTACTACAGCCAAACTTTTGGGAAAAATATGGTTTTGCCCTTCACAGTAACAAAAATGAAATTGGAAAAATTCACTAAAAATCAACAAAGACTTTTATTCCCAGTTTTGATGGGTGTAGTAGCTCCATTTGAGCAATAGCTAGCTACTACAGGCAAGAATTTGGGAAAAATATGGTTTTTACCCTTCACAGTAACAAAAATGAAATTGGAAATAATTACTAAAAATCAACAAATACTTTTTTCTCAGATTTGATGGGTGTAGTAGCTCCCATTCAATGATAGCTAGCTACTACAGCCAAACTTTTGGGAAAAATATGGTTTTCCCCTTCACAGTAACAAAAATGAAATTGTAAAAATTTACTAAAAATCAACAAAGACAGTTTTCCCAGTTTTGATGGGTGTAGTAGCTCCATTTGAGCAATAGCTAGCTACTACAGGCAAGAATTTGGGAAAAAATATGGTTTGCCCCTTCACAGTAACGAAAATGAAATTGGAAAAATTCACTAAAAATCAACAAAAACTTTTTTCCCAGTTTTGATGGGTGTAGTAGCTCCCATTCAAAGATAGCTAGCTACTACAGCCAAACTTTTGGGAAAAATATGGTTTTCCCCTTCACAGTAAGTAAGTAAGTAAGTAAGTTTTTATTTATATACCGCCTTTTCACTGCAGATCTGAGTCTCAAAGCGGTTTACAATTGTTAATTTTGGGCATTTGTCTCTCACTCCACACAGAGATGGGAGCGGGGTCGCCAGTACAGGAGGCGCATGCCAGAACTATTGGACATATTTTTAGTGGTAGGGGAAACCGGAGTACCCGGAGGAAACCTACGCAGACACGGGGAGAACATGCAAACTCCACTCAGAAAGGCCCTGGTCCGACCGGGATTCGAACCCAGGACCTTCTTGCTGAGAGGCGAGAGTGCTATCCACTCAGCCACAGTACCAAAAATGAAATTAGAAAAAAATACTAAAAATCAACAAAGACAGTTTTCCCAGTTTTGATGGGTGTAGTAGCTCAATTTGAGCAATAGCTAGCTACTACAGGCAAGAATTTGGGAAAAATATTGTTTTCCCCTTCACAGCAACGAAAATGAAATTGGAAAAATTTACTAAAAATCAACAAAGACAGTTTTCCCAGTTTTGATGGGTGTAGTAGCTCCCATTTAATGATAGCTAGCTACTACAACCAAACTTTTGGGAAAAATATGGTTTTCCCCTTCACAGTAACAAAAATGAAATTGGAAAAATTCACTAAAAATCAACAACGACTTTTTTCCCCAAATTTGAGGGGTGTAGTAGCTCCCATTTAATGATAGCTAGCTACTACAGCCAAACTTTTGGGAAAAATATGGTTTTCCCCTTCACAGTAACAAAAATGAAATTGGAAAAATTCACTAAAAATCAACAACAACTTTTTTCCCAGATTTGAGGGGTGTAGTAGCTCCAATTGAACAATAGCTAGCAACTACAGGCAAGAATTTGGAAATATATATATACAGTGGGGCAAAAAAGTATTCAGTCAGCCACAGATTGTGCAAGTTCTCCCACTTAAAATAATGAAAGAGGTCTGTCATTTTCATCATAGGTACATTTAAACTGTGAGAGACATAATGTGAAAAAAAAATCCAGGAATTGACATTTTTAAAGAATTTATTTGTAAATTATGGTGGAAAGTAGGTATTTGGTCAATAACAAAAAATCAACTCAATACCTTGTAATATAACCTTTGTTGGCAATAACAGAGGTCAAAAGATTACTATAGGTCTTTATCAGGTTTGCACACACAGTAGCTGGTCTTTTGGCCCAACTCCCTCCACAGATTTTCAATGGGGTTGAGGTCTGGAGACTAGGCCACTCCAGTACTTTCAAATGCTTCTTACGGAGCCACTCCTTCGTTGCCCGGGCGGTGTGTTTGGGATCATTGTCATGCTGGAAGACCCAGCCACGTTTCATCTTCAAAGCTCTCACTGATGGAAGGAGGTTTTGGCTCAAAATCTCACAATACATGGCCACATTCATTCTTTCCTTAACACAGATCAGTCTTCGTGTCCCCTTAGCAGAAAAACAGCCCCAAAGCATGACGTTTCCACCCCCATGCTTCACAGTAGGTATGGTGTTCTTGGGATGCAACTCAGTATTGTTCTTCCTCCAAACACGACGAGTTGAGTTTATACCAAACAGTTGTACTTTGGTTTCATTTGACCACATGGTTTTTTTTTTCAGTCTTATACAGTGACTTAAAGTGACTTATTGTACAGTCTGACAGCAGTGGGGATAAAGGCCCTGCGGTAGCGCTCCTTCCTACACTGAGGGTGTCTCAGTCTTCCACTGAAGGAGCTCCTCAGCTCCTCTACAGTCCTGTGCAGTGGGTGGGAGGTGTTGTCCATGATGGAGGTGGCTTTGGCTAGCACCCTCCTGTCCCTCACCTCCTCCAAAGAGTCCAGGGAGCAGCCCAGAGTGGAGCTGGCCCTCCTGACCAGCTTGTTCAGTCTGTTTCTGTCCCGCTCTGTGCTGCCCGGGGCCCAGCACACGGCAGCGTAGTAAATGGCAGATGCTACCACAGAGTTATAAAAGGTCCTAAGCAGAGGCCAGCTCACTCCGAAGGACCTCAGCCCCCTCAGAAGGACCTCAGCCTCCTCAGAAGAAAGAGGCGACTTTGGCTCTTCTTGTGCAGGGCGTTTTTATTATGGGACCAGTGTGAACACCCAGGTACTTGAAGCTGTCCACCAGCTCAATGTCCTCCCCCTGGATGTTCAGAGGCGTGTGGGAAAGTGGTTTCCTCCTGAAATCGATCACCATCTCCTTGGTCTTACTGGTGTTCAAGCACAAGTGGTTGCGCTCACACCAGTCGACAAAGTCCTTGATAACCGACCCATATTCCAGTTCGTTCCCCTCAGACACACAGCCCTCGATGGCGGAGTCGTCGGAGAACTTCTGCAGGTGACAGCTGTGTGTGTCGTGTGTGAAGTCTGAAGTGTAGA